AACGCTATATCAACGAACGTCAATAATACTTCTGACTGCAGATCAATTACACACTGTCTACACACACACATTCCTTCAACAATCTCTTTTATATATCCGCCTACCCTATATCTAGTAAGAACTAGAACATTCGCCAAAGTACAGGATAATTCAAGAAAGGAGAGAGCGTGAGAATCACATGATCTCGATGACGCAACATTATGATTTCTGCAGCTTTCTGTACAACTTTTTTAAAATTGTCTCACTGCGGCCCTGTGTGAAAGTACAATTGTCACTAGAATGTGTACGTATACGTATGTGAGTGTTCTATCTGTCTGTAAGTATGCAAGGTACTAGAAAAATCCCTCATGATGGAGTATATAGATATGGTGTGACTAGAAGACCACTTGCCAAACAGTTTCTCGTCCTGTATATTTACAACTTCATTAGCCATACAATAAATTCAAATTGTCGTTACGTCCTCGACTCAAATCAATAACAGTACAATCTCAAACTAAATAATATTATCAAAGTTTTCCATGGCAAGTCTGTAGTGGGACATTCAATGATACAGGCAGGAATTCACTATTAAAAAGAAAAGCTCATCCGCGGTGTAAAATATTTCCTACCACTACGGTGTATCAATCTATGTATATGGATTACAGCATCCAGTCATATATATATATATTGAGCGTGTATTTTGCATGCTTTACTTTGAGCAACACTGGTTAACAGACGCTGCATGCTCCGATTTCTGTTTGTTTTGTTATTACATTTACAAAGAGCGTCAGGAGGAAAACAGATATGAGTATTATACTATTTATTACACTGCGGGTCGAAGTTATCACCGAAAGTAAATAGCATGTGTTTTGTATTGTTTCAACTTGAAGATTCTACCACACTCTAGTGACACCTGTCATTGAGCGCTCATTAACTTCAGTCAAGGGAAAGCAAGTTATATAAGCTCTTGTATTCAGTGAGTTATTTTGTTTAACACTTTAAAACTCCACACGTGAGTGAAATTGAAATTCCGGTCATACAAACCAAAGATTGTATCGAATTATTAAAGACAACAAACCAAGTTTCTCAACAATAAAGCAAGCGTCTAAAAAGGTTATATTATGATGGTTCACACACATACACATAAACTCACGTTTCTTTATGTCATAGTTTCAGGATGTCATGACACACACAACATTTGTTGTAACTTGCAACCGAATATGGAGTTTCTTGTTAACTATTAAAACAAAATAACCAAAACAAATAAGTTTCTTGAAAAACTTTGTACAGCACGGGGTTTTGGAGAAGCATATTTCAAATGTAAACACAAGTTTTCACTTTGGGTTTCCTTTCTTGCAGAGATTCTCGTTTATCTACTTACAGATATAAAAATTACGAAGGTATAGGTATATCTTGCCACCTAGATCCTCTACTGAATCAGCTTGTTATCTAAATCTGTCATATGAGTTATTTATGGCCTGTAACGAAGACGGATGTGTTTCATCATATGCAGGTTGTTATACATATTATACAACGTGAAGATGAACTTGTGGAAAAAATTAAATGGCAGTATAAAGACAGCGAACATCGACTTAAGCCTAATATGTGGTTTTTGTTTAATACAACTTCACATTCATGGGTTCTCTTAAACACGTACGCAATAATGATTCAAAGCATATGTATTTATTATAAATACGTATGGCAGAACTCATCACACAAAGGAGGTCGTTCAAAAATATGACTTATCTAATTACGCAGAACACACATTAAAATCATTAAGACATACATTGTGAAATAGAACGGTTATTATGATACAACATATTCCTCTTACATTAAGACGTGTACAGATTATATGTGTTTTAAAGCAAGATGACTGTTTTACAACCGTCCTATTTCACCATGTTCTTCGGAAGAACATAGTGAAATTGGACGGTTGTTATGATAAAACAGTCATCTTGCTTTAAAACATATATAAGGAAGAACATTGTGAAATAGGACGGTTGTTATTATACAACAGTCATCTTGCGTTAAGACATACATTATGAAATAGGATGGTTGTTATGATAAAATAGAGTCCTCTTACATTCAGACAAATATATAGCGAAGAACACTGTGAAATAGGACGATCGTTACGATGCATAAGAGGTCCTCTTGCATTATATGGCCCGGCATGGCCAGGTGGTTAAGGCACTCGACTAGCAATCTGAGGGTCGCGGGTTCGAATCCCCGTCACACCAAACATGCTCGCCCTTTCAGCCGTGGGGGTGTTATAATTTGACGGTCAATCCCACTATTCGTTGGCGGTGGGTGGTGATGACTAGCTGCCTTCCCTCTAGTCTTACACTACTAGATTAGGGACGGCTAGTGCAGATAGTCCTCGTGTAGCTTTGCGCGAAATTAAAAAACACAAACAAAACAAAAAACAATCTTGCATTATGACATACATAGGGAAGGATATTGTGAAATAGGACGGCTGTTATGAAACAAAAGAGTGCTAACGATGGTTCATCTCATTAAAGCAATGGTTGCAAGTTTTTTCTTATTAATTATGCTTGAAGTCTTATTTTGATATAAGCAGCCAGTTTTAATATATTGGTACAGACTATTTACTCGAAAGTTACTTTTAATCCTGACAAGATAATTTCAAAGAAATGAAATGGTCTCATTGGCACATTAGAGCTAGTTGAACAAGGAAATAATATAATACATAGAAATATTCACAATTGGCAAACAGATAGAACCACTTAACTCAGTTGGTATTGTCATAGACAGATCTTCTTATGAGTCATAAACTATACGATCCGTGATACTTTATTGTTTTCAAGCTAGTTCTCAGAAATAATCCATATCTAGATAAAGACTCACGAAAGTTACAAACTAGAAAGTAAACATAACATTTATTTTCTTCATGTGTGTGTGTATCAAGTTTTTAACTGTTTCAGTCTCAAGCGCTGTAAGCAAACAATGTTTCTTATAACTAAACAATTGATATTTTTGTTGTTGTTTTCACTTTGTGTTGCAACATACGTATCAAACTTATAACTTTTTTGTTATTTTAATCTCACTGTGTTTTGTTTGAACTCAGTTTTATTCTGATAACTGAAACAACACGAACATAAAACCTACAACTTTTCTATTGTTTGATACTTTTCATTCTATGGTATATTACTTGAACACAGTCTTAGTCTGAAACTAAACATGATAAATATAAAACTATCAACTTGTTATTTTGATACCTTTTCCCATCCTATAGTATATTGCTTGATCTCTTGGCTTGAATACTGAAACTGTTTATATTTCTAAAACTTTTTAAAGTTGTTGGTTTTGAAATATCATAGCATTGATCAGATTTTGAAACGCGAAAAACAAATGACATTCATTCCTTGATAGATGGTTTAGGCAGAGTATTCATCATGAAACTTTGTTGAATGGACGGCAACTGTCTGTTGTAGAAACACAAGTATAGAGGACGACGTTTCGAAAGTCTTCCGCCTTTCGTCTGTTGCTGTCCATTCAACAAAGTTTCAGCAATTGACATTCATATTCGTAAACTTCCACATGTTGTATGTCACATTGTTTGGCTTAGAAAAAATAGGTTTAATATTTACTTTTTTGATTTTACGGAAGATAATGCATCAGACAGTGTCATACTTGATGACATCATAACGAAAATCTAAATATATTTAATACTTCTGAACATACAGACTGAATATTTTGCGAAGTACACTAAAGTGAAATCATTATCGAAAACAAACTATGCAGGAATAGTTGGGCACGACAAGAAGTAAAAGATTAGCGAAAACGTTTAGCCTTGCTTTGAATGCAAAAGCAAAAAAGAAAACATTATTATAAATATTAGAAGCAAATTGTTTTTATAGTTAGGTATGCATGTATATTAAATAATTTGTATTTCAAATATATTACACTATAAAAGCTTAAACTTTAAGCTGTAATAATGATTGATTTAAATCACAACTCAGGAATAGTAAACTACAAGAAAATCATTTGCGCGATTTAATGTTTAAACACATTTATCATTTTAATGTTGACATAAAATCTCACCTCAAGTTTTCTGGAAAAGTTTTCTGTTAACTTCTCATTTATAAGGCTAAGTTCTTCATTCTTTTCAAGTAGTGCCTTTCCTAGTTGAGCGGCTAAAATTAGATCTTGTTCTTTTTGTGCAAGATCGGCATAAACGTCATTACATTCATTTGTATTTTGGATTCTATTTTCCATTTCTTTTATATATTCCTCCAAGTCTCCATACAATATGTGGTAATTTGGTGGCGTTTGTTGCATTTCTTCCAAACGACAAGCACACATTGTTCTCTAAGTACAACTTAGCACAATGCTTCAATGTTTCTGCTAGTTAGGCAAATCATCTGTTCTGATTTCTGAAAGTCCGTGTAACTGCTGATGGTAGATAAGTTTCCTTTTTTGTTTAGAAAATTCAACAAATATGAAAGAGTCTTTAAAAAAGAAGAAGAAAAAAAAAACAAAAAAAAAAAACCAACAGACTGGCACTTTACTCTGTTCGTAAGAACGTGAAGCCGAATGGCTTGGGTGCTGATGTCCTTATGGTCTGGTCGCGTTATAAAAATAATATTTGAACATGTATCTATAATATGAAAATCCAGAGCTAAAGGTAGTGTTGTCTATCTATAACTCTCTTGAAAAGCAATGCTTTAGGCACTGGAGTTTCCACATGTTAACTCTAGCATCTACCTAACTTATAAAACTCACCTATTTTATACCTGGCTTTGTAGTTATTACCTATAGAATTCTTGTACTTACTGGTCAAGTGCTCCGAGAGGGATACGGATGTTCAAATAACATTTGTGTCGTTTCCTATCAAGCGTCGCTTTTGCGTTTTGTGGCAAATAATAATAGCAATATAAGATGTAAAATATAAGTGATGTATTTGTTTAATTATAAAAAAGTGCTAAAATAAAACATTTTAAACAATGGTTGTGTTATAGGTAAATAAATTAAATTATCTTAATCGGAATTGGTGAGCCTTAATTTACACATGTAGTCCTCCATAATACTTCGTTTGGTGATGTCATATATTAAGCCAACTATACTGTCCAATAAGGGTAAATTTCCGTTTAATTTTTCTAAGGCGGATACATTCAAAAACCTTCTATTGGCGGTAAGTTAGGATGCTGTTTTTTAAGATATGTCAAATTATCTTAAACATATTTAGTTATAATTTACAGGTTTTTTGTTATCTTATACTATAAAGAAGTATAATTCGTAGGTAGGTGAAATAATTATTTTTATTTTCTGTGAAAAATCTAATTGTTCAGGTCAACTTATCACGACAACTTTCAACTCAGAGTGTCTGTGAATGTGATGAGCATGCCTGAGTATTAGTATTATTGAGTATTAGAAGCTATAACCTACAGTGTTATTGTTACTGTGTTAGTATTACGGTGTTGCTGCAGTGTTAGGCCTTCTAAATTCGATGTTAGCCTAAACTTAGGTTATTGTAAAACTAGAAGTAGAAGGCAAGAGTAGAGCAAGTAACTAGTAATATGTATAACATTTGACTTTTTGAATTTGAGTATTTAATTGTAATACTAAATAATAGTTACTGTACAGTGGTTAATTAAACTAAGTAAAACTTTGGGTGACAACTGACATTGAAATTTAAATAATTTATACCTTGAAACTACTCATAATTCAAATTGTAATATCCCACATGCATTATCATGCATTTCCTATAATTAAAAGTCATCTGCCATTTATTTACCCAATTCGCCAAATAATCCAAATCCTTTTGTAAAGCAGTAGCATCTTCTTCTCAGCCAGCAACACCCAAGACATTAATATCATCAGCAAAATCAAGTAATTTATTGACCACTCCTTCATCTGTCATTGATGTAAATCAAAAAGAGCAAAGGTCCCAACATTGTACTCCATTTATAACAACTCTACTTTCTTCCATTTAGTCAGTTTCTATCCAATAAGACAAGCTACCTGCCACACCTACAAAGATAACTTTTGTACCTTTATCAAATGCTTTATGAAAATCTAGCAAAATCCACACACATACCTTCATATACATAAGAATGTCAAAAGATTAGTAAGGCAAGATTTTACCCTAGTAAAACCATGCTGACTATCGAATCAAATTTTAAACTTTGTTAAATGACTTTGCAAAGCATTTTTTGCAGCGGCTCATAGAATGGCTCTGAGTTTTTCAAGTAGAAACTTTTAGCTTATAGCTCCATCATTTCTTGAGATCTAATTACAGTTTTTGACTCTGGAGGTCAAACCCTTTCGATTGTTTTATATTGACCATGCCCAAGGTCTTGTAGATTAATTTACTCTAATCCTACTTAAAAGAATTTCAGTTTGAGGGTAGGCTGGTTGAGATCCTGATGAGTAATAAAATCAAAACAGGTACATGCGAGTCTCATGCTTGATATTGCTGGCACACAAAAATATAGCTAATAAAAAAGGAAACAAAGGTCTCGTAGATTGATTTACTCTAATCCTGCCCAAAAGAATTTTGAGTGCCACGGCTTTGAAGATTCTCTCTTGTTCGCTTTTGCCAACTCTTTTTCATTTAGTTTTATTTATTTCTTAATTTTCCATATGACCAACTCTCTCGATCTCCTATAATTTTCTGACTCTGCCATCATCATAGTCAACTTAAACTTCTTATAATGCTTTTCTTTAATTTTATTCATTGTACCTTTTGTGAGCCAACCTTTGGTTTTTCTTGCAACCACTCTTTTTTTTTTGTCTATAAAGAACATGGCTATCTTGAATATTTAAGAATTGATTTAAAAACCTTCTCCTTATTCAGTATCTAAATAATTCACAGTAGATAATAATTGTTTCATCGCTTCAAAATTTGTTTTTTTGAAAGTTGGAACCCAAATCTCATTGTTTCTTACCTCCTTATGCATCAAAACACCAAATTTAATTAAGCAATGACCACTTGCTCCCAGATGTTCTCCAGTTTTTACCCTATCAACCATTTTTTTTATTAGAAGTTAACAATAAATCTAAAATAGCATTGTTCTTTGCAGGTTTCCTAACCCGTTGTTGGCTGTAACCCTTCCCAATCTTAGAATATATCGTAATAATAACCTCATTAACAGTTGAATTCTTTCTCTCACTGTAGAGTTTCTCATTAATTTCATCAGTTCCATCTGTTTATCTGTAATGAATTCCAACTAAAACAGTAAAAGTCTTATCCCCTTATAACCACAAACAGAAACCCAAATATATTCAACTTAATTGCTATTAACTTTAATATTCTAAACTTCAACAGGCTGTATTTCACAATTTACATATCAAGTCACTCTTTCTCTTTTTAGTACTCTATCCCTATTAAACAGCATACAAGACTATATTTCAAAGAAATTCCTGTTATCAAATATGTCTAAAATTAGCCTACATTATATTAAAATTCTTTGTTTCAACCAGTGCTCTAAGGTTTTCCATTTTATTTCGTATATTTCTACAGTAATAACAGTAGCTACTTAAAACTACCTTTTTACCTTGTTCAAACACTACACCCTTTTCTACATCGTATTTTTTCTTCATTATTTTGGCCTTTTCCACTGTATGATCCTAGAATATGTTAGTGTTCTGCCACTTATCTTTCGGTTTACTTAGAGATTCTCCCTTTACAAATATTTTGGGGATCTTTCCTTCTACAATCTCAAAAACAGTTAGAGATTCATATCTATTTGACACAGTTTAAACTTTGTCTGACTTGAACATTCTTCCCGAGGTCTTGAACTTTTTTAAAGCATTGTGCATCATAATAAACCCAATGTTTTCTTCTTTTCCCCCCTCACAAGAGCAGATTAAGCACTAAGATTTTCTGTTTCTTTCTTAATTCAACGTATATTTTTTCTTACCTAATATGGTTCCTTCACAAACTAATTCTTCAACTTCTCTCACAGCAGCAAACTCTGACTTTTCTTCCAACAAGCAAGGTTTTCAATCTTCATCAAATCATTAAATGACTCTGAAATCGACCTGCTGAATAGAGATATGTTTCTTAATGATACATAACTGTTTTTTTAGCTTGTTATGCAGATTCTGTTTAACACCTTTTCAAATCCACCAGTAGTATGAAAATTTGATTTTAATTTCATAATAATTCTTTTAAAGTTTATAAAATTTATTCTTCACTTTTGGATAAAATAATTTTTCGTTCTACAAAAGAAGGACCTGCTATGTATAGTTACAAAAAAAAAGTGCTGACAATATTGGATGACCATCTAAACTACATTTAACGGGTTGTATGGTTTATAAAATGTGTTACTTTACTACTAAGTCATTAAGTAAAGGAACTATAAAGCATTGATATTATTATTTATATTTCTGGTAGTTACAGTTTGAAATCTTTTTTTTTTTCATGTATACTGAAAGCTGAAAACTATTTTGCTACAGTTTGTAACATTGCTTAGCTTATAATTTATTTTCTTCAATATTATCTACAGAAAAATCAAATGCAGTGACAATGGAAAGTTTCACAGAGTCTATTGCCAGTCGATCCACAAAACTTAACCAGCTTATTTTGGGAAGATCTAATTTGAACATACCTCAGCCACATCTGACAAGTAGAGACACACTTCTGGATGCACTGGTGGCTTTGTATGATGAATGCAACAATGAACAGTTGAGAAGAGATAAGCAAGTGGCTACATTTGTGGAAAGATGTAAGTAAAACTAATATGTAAAAATATATATATATATATTCCTTTACTATAAAATCTGTGAGACCTGTGTTACATATTATTTAACCATACATGTACAAGCACAGGTACTTTATGGTTAAGTTACATATTATGGTTACTTGCTTGTTTTAGAGAATTTCATGAAGTTCTTATGTATCTAAAAATGTATGGAGGACCAGTTGATATGCATAACTTAAAAAATAAAATATATAAAAATTATACCTCTGACAAAGACCAATTACAATTTTTTTTTATCAAGTTGGCTCCCAAGTAAGATAATATAATCTTTTATGCAAATAAAGTTATATCAGTTTTATAATATTGTTTATTTTTTCAAAAATAATTTTGATAATTGAATTTTGTTTTACATTAAAAAATCAATGTTATATGTATGTCAAAACTAATCATTTATTTATATTGAAAATAAAATAATTTTTTGGCTTATCTTTTTTAAAACTTTACTTGCTGCATGAAGTTCGAAGTGTGATACGTGAAGTAAAGCGTCTTCGTGTCAATATTACTGACTTTGAGGTGAAGAAGATTATTGGAAGGGGACATTTTGGAGAGGTGCAAGTTGTGAGAGACAAGCAAGCAGGCGATGTATATGCTATGAAGGTTCTAAGAAAAGGAGAAACTTTATCCCAGCAAAATGTAATGTTGTATCAGTATTCATACATAGATATACATATTTGATAAAAACATGATTTATTTTATTGCTTTTGTAGGATACACTTAAGGAAAATGTATCTTTGTTGTTACTTGGTTTTTAAAGAGTGCAAGGTAATGAACATGAGTTATAGGAACTGGAAAGAAATATCTTGTAACAAAATTACTTATGATTGCAGAATGGAGTTCAAAACACTGATAAGTGAACAATAATGAAAAAAAAATATATATATTTTGGGTTCTTTACTTGAAATTATTAAATTTAAATTAAATGTAATTTATTAGATTTTTATAGCTACTTTGAGATTTTATTTCATGTACTATGTTTATTTGTAGTCTTCGTTTTATATGAAATATTTACTGTTAGTGATACGGCAGAAAAGGGGGAACATAATGGCTATCAAAAACAATCCAGATGATAAGATTACTTGGCCCAAAAAAATCCTCCATTTAGTTGGGTTACTTTTGTTAAAAAATAAATTTCTGTGAGAATTCTCTGTTAATTTTTAAAAAAACATATATTTTTGGAAAGCCTATGGCTTAGAGTTCTCAAAAAAATGTTTCCATTTTTTTTGCTCCAGGGACAACCAAATAGGGTTTATGCAAAGTTTTGGATAAAATGAGCTATAAAACATCAAGAGCTATATCCTAATATACACAGCGTAGTCACAAGTAAATAGACACCACCTTTTCAGAAAAAATGAAATTTTTCAGTCATATTCACATGAATTGATATATTTATAATTTAATTGATATCTAGTAGATCTTCTTTTCACTTC